CCCCGCCACTCCGTCGCGGCCCCGCCACCCAGTCGCGGCCCCGCCACTTCGTCGCGGCCCCGCCACTTCGCGCGGCCCCGCCACTTCTTCGCGGCCCCGCCACTCCTTCGAGCGGCCCCGCCACTCTGTCGCGGCCCACCCGCCGCCCTACCTGCGGCCTACCCGCCGCCCTACCTGCGGCCCGGCCGGCCGCCCTACCTACGCTGCCCAGTAGCAGCCGAGCCGCCCGGAGCAGCCGAGCCGCCCAGGAGCCACCGAGCCGCCCCGCAGCAGCCGAGCCGCCCAGCAGCCGCCGAGCCGCCCAGCAGCAGCCGAGCCGCCCGGAACCGCCGAGCCGCCCAGCAACAGCCGAGCCGCCCAGGAGCCGCTGAGCCGCCCAGCAGCAGCCGAGCCGCCCTGCAGCAGCCGAGCCGCCCGGGAGCCGAGCCGCCCAGCAGCCTAGTGGCCGTGTCGCCAGGAGACCTTCCTCCCGAGCCGCCCGACCTGCCCTGCCCGGTGAGCACTGCACTGCTGTCACTGCGTACCCTTCCCCTACTGCTTGCACTGCGCCACTGTCGTCGTCATGGCTACACCCAGTGTCCTCGCTTTTGACGCTGAGGGTCGAGCCATTGACTTTGAGGTCTGGCTCGACGACCTGCAGCTGTTTTTACAGTGCGACAGGGCCGACAGTCTGTCTCTCTTTGACCTCACCTCTGGCGCCGTCCCTGCCCCTGCTGCTGATGCTGACGCCACTGTTCGCTCTCAGTGGGCCACGCGCGATGCTGCTGCACGTCTTGCTGTGCGTCGCCACCTGCCTACCGCTGAGCGCGCGCACTTTAGCCAGTACAAGAGTGCTCAGACCTTGTACGACGCTGTAGTTGCGCGCTACTCCTCCCCTGCCACTGCTGCACTGAGCCGCCTCATGCTCCCCTTCCTCTTCCCTGACCTTGCCGCCTTTCCCACTGTCGCTGATCTCATCACGCATCTCCGCACTAGTGACACTCGCTACCGCGCTGCGCTTCCTGCTGACTTCTGCGCCAAGAACCCCCCCCCCATGTACATCACTCTCTACTTCCTAGTCACTCGCCTCCCTGACTCCCTTCGTGTAGTCCGGGACCACTTCCTCGCGGTCTGTCCCACCACCCTCACAGTCGACAGCCTCGAGAAGGCCCTCCTTGCAGCAGAGAAGAGCATAGTTGCTGTAGGAGCCTCTCGAGGTGACCCCCGCGCCCCCATCTTTGAGGGGTGTTCTCCTTCCCCCCTCCTGCCCTCTGTCGCCTCTGCCGCTGCGGCCGACCTCGTTGGTCTTGAGTCGGTCGGTGCGGCGTCTGCCCCTAGCGGGAGACGCCGCTCTGGCAAGGGCAAGGGGGGCAAGGGAGCGGGTGGGGCCAGTGGGGGCAGTGGAGGTGGAGGTGGAGGCGGCGGAGGGAGTGGGAGTGGCGGTGGAGGTGGTAGCGGGGGTGGGGGTGCTAGTGGCGGCAGTGGAAGCGGGGGTGGCGGCGGCGGTGGCGGTGGTAGCGGAGGTGGCGGAGTTGGCGGCGGTGGAGGCGGAGGCGGTGGAGGTGGAGGTGGAGGCGGGGGTGGCGGAGGTGGAGGTGGTAGGAGTGGAGCTTCGCAGCGGAGCGGCACTGGAGGAGGTCAGCGCCAGCAGCAGCAGCAGCAGCAGCGTTCTCGCGACGTCCCCACCCCTCAGCAGCTCCGTGAGTGGTACACGCAGCGTCAGCGCGGTGGGGGTTTTGGTCCCTGCACCTACGTTCTCCGCACTGGCGACCGCGCTGGAGAGCAGTGTGAGGGCACCCACCACGCCCAGCGCTGCTTTGGCCGCCTGACGGACGCTTGGCGCCAGCAGTTCCCGGAGGCCGCGGAGATCCCCCGCTGGGGAGAGCTGTCTAGGGCTGGTGTAGCTATCTTTGATCTTGATTTTGATGCTATCCTTGCTGCCATGTATGCTGTGACCATTAGTGATGAGGGTGACTGTTACCGGTGTTTCCCGCCCGACCCGCGCATTGGTACTGCTGCTCTAGGTGCCGGTGAGGCTTCTGCTCTAGGTGCCAGTGCGTCTGTGCTCTCGGGTGCTGGTGAGGCTGCGCTCTCAAGTACTAGTGCGTCTGCGCTCTCAGGTACTGCGTCGGCTTCGGCCTCCCTCACCTTCACTCTTGACTCTGGAGCGTCTCGCTCTTTCTTTCGGGACCGCACCACCCTCACGCCGCTTAGTCGGCCTGTTGCGGTTTCCCTGGCTGACCCCTCTGGGGGTCCTGTCCTGTCTCGCTTCTCCACAGTCCTCCCGGGTCCGACGGCTCCCTTTGGCACCCTGTCTGGTCTCTACCTCCCCTCGTTCTCTACGAACTTGGTGAGTGGTGCTGACCTACAGGATGTGGGAGTCCACCAGTTCACCCCTGCTCGTCAACAAGTGACACACTGCACAGAGGCTAGCACGGGTCGTCACCTGGCTACGTTTACACGTCAGCCAGGGTCGAGCCTGTACACACTGACCACTGCTTCTCCTCCAGGTGCTGAGTCTGGTAGCGTCCCTTCGTCTGGTCAGGTGTTTGCTGCAGCGTCCAGGTCTGGTCCTGAGTCTGCCCCCTGTTCGTGTCGCCGTCTTTCTCACGAGACCCTCCTCTGGCACCACCGCCTTGGCCACCCCTCTCTGCTTCGGCTCAGAGGCATGGCCTCTCGTCTTCTTGTGTCTGGTCTCCCCCGGTCCCTCCCTCCCCTTCCTCAGGGCCCTGGCCCTGCCTGTGTCCCCTGTGTCGAGGGGCGCCAGCGTGCTGCCCCTCACTCCTCCCAGTTTCCTCCGACAGAGGCTCCGTTGCAGACGCTTCACATGGACGTGTGGGGCCCTACCCGCGTCCGTGGACTCGGTCACGAGCGCTACTTCCTGTTGGTGGTTGACGACTACTCGCGTTACACCACAGTCTTCCCCTTGCGCAGCAAGAGTGATGTCACTGAGGTGCTGATCGACTGGATCCGCGCAGCTCGTCTCCAGCTCAGGCAGAGCTTTGGCTCGGACTTTCCGGTGTTGCGTCTGCACTCGGACAGAGGCGGAGAGTTCTCCTCTGGCCTTCTGCGTGCCTACTGTCGTGCGCGAGGCATCCGCCAGACCTTCACGCTTCCGGACTCACCGCAGCAAAATGGGATTGCTGAGCGCCGCATTGGCATGGTCATGGACGTCGCTCGTATGTCTATGATGCATGCGGCTGCCCCCCATTTTCTGTGGCCGTTTGCGGTCAGGTACGCGGCGCATCAGATCAACCTCCACCCCAGGGTCTCCAGGCCGGAGACCTCCCCAGCCCTGCTGTGGACGGGGAAGGTTGGCGATGCGTCGGCGTTCCGGGTCTGGGGATCTCGGGCGTTTGTCCGCGACTTGTCTGCGGACAAGCTGTCCCCTCGCGCTGCTCCCTGCGTCTTCCTGGGGTTCCCCCCCGACGCCCCTGGGTGGCAGTTCTACCACCCCACCTCTCGACGTGTTCTGTCCTCCCAGGACGTCACGTTCGACGAGTCGGTACCCTACTACCGCCTCTTCCCCTACCGCACTCCGTCCCTCCCCCCGCCCCCGCTCTTCTTGGTACCAGGTCCCCCCCTGGTAGACCCCCTTCCCCCTCAGGGTCCTGCCCCTTCAGGTGTGTCCCAGGTAGACGCGGTCGAGCCTGTCGAGGTCACTGGTGACTCTGGTGCTGCTGCGGGAGCTGAGCCTGGGGGTGCTGAGACTGGAGGTGCTACACTTGGGGGTGCTGAGCCTGGGGGTGCGGAGTCTGGGGGTGCGGAGCCTAGGGGTGCGGAGTCTGGGGGTGCTGAGCCTGGGGGTGCTGAGCCTGGGGGTGCTGAGCCTGGGGGTACTGAGTCTGGGGGTGCTGAGCCTGGGGGTGCTGGGCCTGGGGGTGCTGAGACTGGGGGTGCTGACTGGGGGTGCTTCGCCTGGAGGTACTTCGTCTCGCCGAGAGCCACTCTCCCCACAGGAGCTGCGTGAGTGGTTTGCCCGACGCTGGAGGCGTGCTGCTGGTGCTGGAGGTTCTTCGGCTGCAGAGGGTGCTGCTGCCGAGCGTCCCGGAGGTGCTCGTACTGTGGGTGCTGGAGCTGCTGGGTCTGAGGGTTCTCCTGGAGCTGGTGCTGCTGAGGGTGTTGGCGCTGAGAGTACCGCTGGCGGTTCGACTGGCAGTGCTCCTGGTGGTGCTGCTGGAGGTTCTGGAGCTGCTGGAGGTGCTGCTGGAGCGGGTACTCCTACTGGGGGTACTGGTGCTGTCCCTGCTGTTTCTGGCGTGGCCACGCAGCCCCGACCGTACTTCGTTCCGCTCCTGCAGCAGGTTCTTGGTCTTACACCTTCTCCTGGTCCTCCTCCTCCTCCCTTAGAGGGTCCACAGTCTGTCCAGTCACAATCCCAGCTACAGCCTGCCTCCCCTTTGCCTGCTCCTTCTCCCTACGCTGGTCCGACTGGAGGTCTTACTGAGCGTCGTGAGCCTGCGTCTCGTCCTGCGTCGCCTGTTCGTCGTGCGCGCACTAGTGGTCGCGGTTCTCATCAGCGTCCTCCTCCTGTCCCTGGCACGCACCGGATGTCTCTGCGTCCGTCCACTGCTCCTCTGCGTGCCTCTTTGCCTTCTCCTCCTGCTTCCTCTCTTCCTGCTCTTGCCGACCCGGAGTCGGACTCTCTTCGTGCTTCCAGTCCCACTGTTACGCGTTTCCTTGCTACTGCCGTCACTGACCCTTCCTTCGAGTCTTCTGCTGCGTCTGCCCTTGTCACTGAGCTTGTAGACTTTGCTGCGCGCTGTCGTCTAGACTACGCTGCTAGTCTTGTCGCTGAGTCTGCGTCTGCCGGTCCTCCGTCCGTCGGGGGTGAGTGTGCCCTAGGCACGGACGTCCTTGAGGACAGGCAGGAGGAGTTCCAGTGTCTGGCCGCCGCTTCACCTCATCTCGCGTCTGTACTGCTCGCCCCTGAGGGAGACCCGGATGCACTAGACATCCCGACTCCGCGCTCTTACGCGGAGGCGATAGAGGGTCCCTACTCCTCTCAGTGGCAGGCAGCTATGGATGCAGAGATGGCTTCCTGGAAGTCCACAGGCACCTACGTTGACGCTGTTCCCCCTCCTGGGGCGAACATCGTCAGTGGCATGTGGATTTTCAGGGTGAAGCGGCCGCCGGGATCTCCGCCTGTCTTCAAGGCGCGTTACGTGGCTCGTGGCTTCAGTCAGCGGCAGGGAGTTGACTACTTTCAGACCTTCTCCCCCACCCCGAAGATGACCACTCTTCGGGTACTGCTGCACGTTGCTGCTCACCGTGACTACGAGCTGCACTCTCTTGACTTCAGCACTGCTTTCTTGCAGGGCAGCCTGCACGAGGAGATCTGGCTGCGTCGCCCACCTGGCTTCACTGGGTCGTTCCCTCCTGGTACCCAGTGGAGTCTCCGGCGTCCAGTCTACGGTCTCCGCCAGGCGCCACGTGAGTGGCACGACACACTGAGGACTACGCTGGCGGCACTTGGGTTTGCTCCTTCTACTGCCGACCCGTCGCTGTTTCTTCGCACCGACACCTCTTTGCCGCCGTTCTACATCCTCGTGTACGTCGACGACTTGGTCTTTGCCACAGCTGACACTGCTGGACTCGCCTACGTGAAGTCCGAGCTGCAGAAGAGACACACGTGCACTGACCTGGGTGAACTGCGCAGCTACCTTGGCTTGCAGATCACCCGGGACAGAGCACGCCGCACCATTACCCTGACTCAGTCACACATGGTGCTGCAGGTCCTTCAGCCCTTCGGCTTCACGTACTCCTCGCCTCAGGCCACTCCTCTGCCTACTCGCCACTCGCTCTCAGCTCTGCCTTCGGATGAGTCCGTAGAGTCGAGTGGCCCGTACCCAGAGCTTGTTGGCTGCCTCATGTACCTGATGACCTGCACACGACCTGACCTTGCATACCCTCTTAGCATTCTCGCACGCTATGTTGCTCCTGGGAGACACCGACCAGAGCACATGGCTGCAGCGAAGAGGGTGTTGCGCTACTTGTGCAGTACGTCGGGCATGGGGCTAGTGCTTGGAGGGCGGAGTCCAGTGGTCCTCACTGGGCACGCGGACGCTTCTTGGGCTGACGACCAGGCTACGCAGCGGTCGTCACAGGGTTACACCTTCAGCCTTGGTTCCGGCTCTGTTTCGTGGCGGGCTACCCGCTCGTCTTCTGTTCTCGGCTCTAGTTGTGAGGCTGAGATCTACGCCGGGGCTATGGCTGCACAGGAGTTACGCTGGCTCACCTACCTGCTGTCCGACCTTGGAGAGCCGCCTCGTTCTCCTCCAGTCCTGTACGTAGACAACAAGGCCATGCTGGCCTTGTGTCGAGAGCAGCGACTGGAGCACAGGACAAAGCACATTGCTCTCCGCTACTTTCTTGCTCGTGAGCTACAGCAGCGTGGACAGTTGCGACTTGCGTACGTGGCCTCTGAGGCCAACACTGCTGATGTCTTCACCAAGGCACTTGCGCCTTGTGATCATCAGCGTTGTTGCACGCAGCTGGGTCTTGTGCCTGTCTTGCCTCACTTGCTCACTTCCTGACTTTGCTTGTACCTTCACCTATATATACTCTTGCTCTTACTTGCTTGACTCTTGTATATCTTTATATATGATCTTGCATGTGAACTGGCCTTGTGGCCCTTGAACTTGTGCTCGGAATGTGTGGTGACTTTGTGATCCACCCTGAGCTTTGCTTTGCTTTGCTTGACTGGTCTTGTGACCCCTTGTTCTCCCCCACTTTGCCTATGGGGGTGTGTCAGAACATTATAGCTTACTCTTTTCTGTAGGCTATAGTGGGGTATCCCATAGGGGGTACAACCCAATTAGGGTTTCATATTTGTGCTCACTTCATTTCATAGTGCACCCATTCTCGTTCTTTCTTTCACAACGGTCGCTCGTCGGGACTGTAAGTCGGTGGTGAGCCGGTAATGCACGAGTCGATGTTTGACTCTGTTGTTCGTGCCATGGCTACGATTCTTGATGTCTGTGCAGGTCCCGAAGTGGAAGTTGATGGTCGCGTTGAAGTAGTCGTTGAGGCGGTCGCGGGACGTTGTTGAGTTGACGCGATGTGAGGAGGCGCTGGTCGTAGAGGACGAGAGAATGGTGCTGGTTGTCGTTATTGCTGAGGGCAGTTGAAGCGTGTATGTCCTGAAGTCTGACATAAATGACAGTAAGGAGGTACGTGTCTTCGATTTTGGTTACGTGGCTGTCGTCGATTGGTGTAAAGAACGACCGGTTGATGATGCCTTTTGTTGTTGCGTTCTTCGAACAGGTCCATTTCCTGCTGCTCGGCGTGAAGTTCGGCGCAGAGATGCATCTCGGAGAGTCGACCGTGAGCGCGAAGGAGTGAGCGGGTGGTGCGCCATTGAGGTCCAAGACCGGCGAGATTGACGGTTACAAACGCTTCTTCAGATAAGTTTCCTCCGCAGCGAATGAGTCTGTCGCGTAGTCCTTGACAACGACTGATGTAAGGCATGGCCTTTTCTCCAGGTTGCATTTGAACTGTTGTCAGTTGTGCCATGAGTCTGCTTTGTGTAACGCTGTCGGATGCTTGATGAATGCTTCGCAGATGTTGATAGGCGAGTTCCGCGGAGTTTGCGTAGTTCCGGTAGGCGCGGATGCTTTGCTGCTCGTTCGGCGACAAGTTTCAAAGAAGTACGCTGTAGGCCATCAGAGAGTGATAAGTATAATCTTCCTTGTCTTTGTCTTCGCCGTTGTGTGGGTATGGCCAGGTACCGTTGAAGAATCCAAGCAGATTCGTGCCTTCCATCAGAAGTTCAAACTCGAAGCTCCAAGAGTAGAAGTCTTTCCCGTTGAATGGTGTGGATGTGTGCAGTCGCAGGATGTTGTTGAACTGTGCTTGTACTTGCAGGACTTCTTCGGCGTCTCGTTTGATGGCGGGAAGAGGAGTCGCTGGATGACGAGGCGGCATAAACGTGAAGGAACCAGGTGAGACTGAATTTGGTGTTTGTTGATTGTGTCGTCCGAACGATGAGTTGTCAATACTCATTGGTGCTGCTCTGTTGTTTACGCTGCTGCTGTTTGCAGGTTGTGAGGACTGCTGCTGCGACATGAAGTTGAAGAATTGCTCCATTAAGCTTGGGTCGAAGCTTGTTGGCGGCGCTACTGGCGCCTGGGTAGATCGTTCCGTCGTTAATCCGGGCGTTGTTCCTCCTTCGGTCTGCAACTCGGAGACCGGGGGTTGAGTAGATCCCGTAGATGACCTTCTTTCTTTGCCACTTGCCATGTCTTGCCTTTCTTGAATGAAGGTTGAACTTCTTGTTTGCTTGCAGATTGGTAGCCTGGGAGAGGCTTAGTGACGAGAGCCTTGTTCTCTGACTGCTCTCATACCATGTTGGGCTGAGAATTTCAGCCTTAGGATCTTTGCAGAGAATAGGCTAGTAGGTGCTAGAGTAGCACAGCGGAAGACTTGAGTGAATGTACTTGTGCTGGTATGTGAGAACAAGTAATTGATTAAGGCAAAGAGCATACAGGAATATATAGGAAAGATAGATTACAAGAAGCGGTTATGTTTGTCGAGACGCGTAACCCTTCGACTATCGAGGCGTTTACTGTTCACTGAAGCGTCGCTTGCTGTTACGTAACCTCCAGGCGGTTACACCTCGCAACCTCCAGTTGCGGTTTTGATGTGGTACGCGCCTTTTCGACTTCATACCCCTTTTGTTGTGCTTCAGTGTCGGGTGAGGTTCGATACTACAGAAACGCACTAAGTCATGCGTTTATATTCCCAACACCCCCCAATGAATTCGACACCGAGATAGCGTCGACAAAGTAGTGTATTCTGGTACCCCTACTCGAGCAGTTTTATCCGGAGGAAATCGTTAGTGCTGGCCCGTACACAAGTGGGTGTATCGAAAAAAAGTTTTAAGGAAGTTTCGTTTCGATAACCTTTCATTCAGTCGGCGGAAACCCCTGTATAACCGGTTTCAGAGTGGACCCCCGATACAAGTTTGAGGCTCAACCTACACTACTATGACTACTCTGAAATTTCAGACAAGTCATTAAAAAAAACTCTGAAAAATCAGACAGGGTGCATAAAAAACAAATCTTTGAGTTGAGACTGGGTACAAAAAAAAAGTCTGATATCTAGGGCCCTGCTCCCAGTTGCCTTGTGAAGGGGGCGTATAAGCTGTAACGAACATTTCGCATAAGTTTCGTCAACTCCCAGCTGGCTAAAAAGGATTCGCAGGTGCTTGTAAACAAGATCTGTTACCTTATTTGACTTCAGTCTCTTCTGCTTGTCCTCGGTCTGTTCGTTACTATTGGTTGACAACCACGCGACGCGCTTATAACTGTTGGGCTGAGACGCCCTAGGATCTTTGTAGAGTTAAAGTCTGAGTAGATGTTGTAATAGCGGAAGCGTTGAATGAAGTCTTTGAACCACCTTGCGCTGGTATGTGAGGGCAAAGTAAGTTAATTAAAGCAAGGAGATACAAGAATATAAATAGATGAGTACAGAGAATATGAGGAGTTATTATAACTAATTTTACTGTTGCGATTCGATACAGTGCGACTCGGGCAACTGCTCAATGTCGAGTCAGATGTTTGTCCTTGCTGTCGCGCTGCGTCAGGTCAAAGGTCGCTGACCTTTGACTTTCCCGTAACCTCCGACGGTTTCGTTAACCGCTTTGGTTGACTCGCGATGCTTCGACTTGAGCTGCTTCGCTTTGTGCCTTGAGTTCTGACACGACAGAGGCGCTTAACTTATTTGTTCCCAACACTCCCCTTCGCTTCTGGAGTGTCGCTGATGGTGACGTGGCTTTGTCCAGTCAGCAGCATGCTGTACTCGAACTTCTGTTTTCCAAGTTTCTTGGTCAAGTAGTCAGCTGCCATCTCGGACGTGGGACAGTAGGATAGATCGAGTTTCCCTCTCTCGATTTCGTCCTTCACGAAGAAGTATCGCAGGGCGATATGCTTCGTTCTGTTCGCGAATCCGCTCTTGTTGGCGATGCAAATTGCAGATTGGTTGTCGTAGAACAAGGTGAAGTTGGGTAACTCGGCTAACTTCGCTTCTTCCAGCAGCTCGCGAAGGTAGAGTCCTTCCTTGGTGGCTGAGCAGAGGGCGATATATTCTGCTTCAGCTGAAGAGAGAGCAATTAGTTCCTGCTTGCTCGATTGCCAGGAGATAGGTCCGATAGGTTCCAGGCGGTAGATGTAGCCAGTGCGGGAGCGCCTGTTATCTGAGTCGCCGGCGTGATCGGCATCGACGTAGCCGATTAGTTTCGTCGGCGTAGTTGCGTCTTTGTAGTACGTTAGGCCGATCGTTGCGGTGCTCACGAAGTAGTGAAGAGCACGGTCGAGTTCTGCTAGGTGTTCTGCTTCGGGCCTCTTGAGATAGGTAGCGAGTTGGCTAGCGGAGTAGGACAAGTCTGGGCGGCAGGTGACGGCTGCGAAGAGTAGACAGCCCAGTTTTCGTTGGTAGTCGCGTATTCCGGCGGTCTTAAGTAGAACGGAGTTTCCTTTGCCGTTCCCTGCCGTGTAGCGGTATGGCGTGTGGATAGTAGCAGGTGTGAGTGCGAAGCGTTTGGCGATGGTGTCGGCGTACTTTTCGGCGCTGAGATAGATCGCATTTTCTTCTTCGCGGATGTTGAGCCCGAGATACTGAGTGACGGTAGTGGAGACTGTAAGTGTGAGGTCCTTTTTCAACTCCCCTTCGAACCAGGTAGCAATGTCGTCGGTAGAACCGATGTAGAGGAGATCGTTGACGTAGACGATGAGCAGGATGTAGTTGGCGCCTTTGGTGAGTCGATACATGCCCTGGTCGTGAGGTAGTTGACAAAATCCGATGCGGATGAGGCGGGTGTGTAGGTGCTGTTGCCACAGCCGTGGGGCCTGTTTGATTCCGTAAAGTGATTTTAGTAGTTGACAGACCTGATTGGGTTCCCCGTGAGTATCGTGAGGGAGTTTGACAAAGATTTCGGCGTCGACGGGTGCGTAGAGGAAGGCGTTGGCAACGTCGATCTGTCGCAATTTCTTTTTCTTCATGGCGGCGATCGCGAGGAGAATTCTGAGAGAGGTGTGCCGGCTAACCGGGGCGAATGTCTCTGTGAAGTCCCGGCCTTGTTCCTGATCAAATCCTCACACGACCCATCGTGCCTTGAACTTTTCAATTGTGCCGTCTGCTTTTGTTTTGATGCGGAAGACCCACTTCCCGGTAAGGATAGTCTTGTTTCTTGCTACGCTTGCTGGAACGACCTTCCAGGTGTTGCGTTCCTCCAATGCCTTTAACTCTCTGTCCATGGCTTCACGCCATTTTTCCCTGTGTTCCCCCCCCAGAGCCTGTTGAACTGTCGCAGGCTCTTTAGGAAGAGAGGAGCCATGGACTGCGGTGACGAGGCCGAGAATATGCAGTCCGGCCTGTGAGTAGCGGAGGAGTGTTGTGTCCTCGGGATAAGCTGCTTCATCTCCCGCTTCTGGGTCGGGTATGAAATTCGGTCCTACTCTTTCTGCTTCGTTGGTGTTGGCTGTTGCAGGTGTTACGTAACCATTGTCGGCGAAGTGATAGAAGACTTCGGCGTTGGCACTTTCGCGAGGATTTTCTTCGTCCATGGGGACGTTGACGGAGCAAAATGGGAGAGGTCCGGCTTCTTCAGATGCGTTGTCGACGTTCTGCTCGTCCCAGTCTGCTTCGTCTGCTGCTGAGGCGAATGCTCGGTCACCACGAAAACCACCTGTGGGGTCCTGATTTTCGTGCAAGTTGGCGAGGTACGTTTGGAGGGTGAGTCGCTCGTAGAAGATCACATCACGTGCTGCTACTGTTTCTTTTGAGTGGACGTCGAAGATTTTCCACGCGTTGTAATTCTTTTCGATGCCGAGGTGTAGTCCCCACTGTGCGCGTTGTGAAAATCTTCCCGCTCGTGCCTCAGGGGGTCTGTACTGTACCATGCACCCAAAAACTCGTAACATTTTTGTGCTGCCCTGCTGCCCTGTCCACAGCAGATGCGGTGATGCGTTGTTCGGGAGTGAGGACGACGACATCAAGTTGTGCAGCATGACAGCGTGGTCCATTGCTGCAGGCCACTGGTGGTTGGGTAGCCGCATGCCACGTAACAGTTTGCGCATGCTGTTCTGCAGAGTCCTGTTCATTCGTTCTGCGACACCTTGCTGCTGATGGGCGTAGGGAAGGGAGAGGAGTTGCTTGATTCCTCTTTCCGCCAGGTACTGCTTGAATCGCTGAGAGGTGTATTCTCCTCCTCCGTCTGACTTGAAGCTTTTCAGCTGTGCTCCTGACTCTCGTTCTGCTACTGGTAGCCAGGCGGCGAACGCTGCGAGTGCCATGTCGCGGCTTGGTAGGTTTAGATGCCAGACATATCGAGTGGCGGCGTCGATGAAGGTAATCGTGTAGTTGTAGGTGACTTGCCCTGGTTCGCGATTGTAGAGGATGTCGCTGTACACCTTCTCGAGTGGTGCGTACGCGGGTGCGCTCGGGTTGTGATGAGGAGTAAACGGTCGATGTGGTAAGTCAGCTTCGTGGCAGGTAAGGCAAGTTCCTCGTGCCTTTTGAAGTTCTCTGCCGTCGGGTAGTAGTAAGGAGTCTTTGTCGAGAACTCCTGCTCTTATCGTGTTGTTTAAGACTGTGTTGCTTGGATGTCCCAATCGTGCGTGCCAGGTTTCTTCGGAGGCGCGATGTCCGGGTGACCGTCGATACGTGTCGGAGTTGGAGTAGAAGCTGGCGACGAAGTTTGCGCTTCTGTGGGCTTCTCGTGGAGTTGGTTTCAACTGCTGTGCGGGTGTTGGTGGTTCTTCGTCGACGAGGACTGGTGTCGTTGTTCCTGCTGCTGCTGCCGATGTTGTCTCTGCTGCTGCCGATGATGTCTCTGCTGCTGTCGTTGTTGTCTCTGCTGCTGTTGATGTTGTTTCTGCTGCTGCCGATGATGTCTCTGCTGTTGTTGATGTTGTCTCTGCTGCTGTCGATGTTGTTTCTGCTGCTGTCGAGTGTTGTATTGTTGCTAATGCGCGTGTTCGTTCTGCTTCAGGGATAGTATGGGAGTACCAGAAGCCTTCTGGGCTGAAGTCTGGATCAAGATCTGGAGGGTGCGTCCAGTCCGTGAAGTTAACAATAGCGTCGCTGTCTGCGGTGCCCAGGTCCGGGACGAAATCCAGGACGAAGACGTTGTTCTTCAGAACTGCCTTCCCGATGTAAAGGCCGCCTTTCCCGTGGTATAATTTGAATTCCTGGGTGGTGCTGTCGGCTTCCAGGTGGATGCCCTTCGCCATCAACTGGCTGACACTCAGTAAGTTGTAGCCGAGTCCTTCTGCTATTAGTACCTTTGACATATGTAGTATAACGTTGGTTTCCCTGGACTGAAGTTGTACCACTCCTTGTCGTCGTGTGCGCAGGTTCTGGTTGTTGGCAACTGTGATGACAACCTCTCGTTGAAGTCGGTGTTCGCGTTGGACGAAGCGTCCCGAAGAGCACATGTGTTGCCCGCAGCAACTGTCCAAGAACCAAGTGTCTTTCCCGGACGGTTCACTTTGAGCAATGGCGGCGTACGTCGGATTCGGTTGAAGAGACTCGTGGCGAGGCGTGCTGTTGTCAAGTTGTTCTTCGGGTGAGTAGTACGGTGGTGACTCGGTTGTGCAGGAGTCGGTTATCTTTACCATGCAGTTGACGATATTCCTTGGTTTTTGCGCAGGTTGTCCTGTTGGAGTCGTTGAAGCTTGGACTGAAGTTGTTGGGGCTGCTTGCGTCGAGGTGACTTGGCTGCTCGAAGGTCGGAGTTGTCGCTGTGGTGCTGTCGATTGATGACGATGCGGGCAATGCGTGCGAGGATGTCCTGAAGTCTTGCAGATATGGCAAAAAGGAGGTACTGGTTTCGGGTGTTGTTGTTGTCGATTGTTGCTGTTGTTGTAGCGTCGCTGGGTGTGGAAAGCGAACTCTGGTACTGATGCTTTCTTCTTATGTCGTTCTTCTTGCAGGTCCATGTCCTGTTGTTCGGCGTGGATTTCGGCGCAGAGTGCTGCTTCGGAGATTCTTCCGTGTGCTCGTAGTATGGCGCGAGTGGAGCGCCAGTGAGGGCCGAGTCCGCCGATGACGACCGTGACGAAGGCGTCTTCTGAAATTGATCCTCCACATCGAAGGAGCCTGTCGCGCAGCTCGCGGCAGCGACTGATATACTCCATGCCTTTCTCGCCTGGCTTCATTTCGATTGTTGTCAGCTGCGCCATTAACCGGCTTTGGTTTACACTGTCTGTTGTTTGATACAGGTTCTTCAAGTGGTTGTACGCGAGCTCCGCGGAGTTGCCGTAGCCTCGGTAAGGCCTGATGTTCTGCTGTTGAGTCGGGGTGATGTTTCTCAGTAGTATTGCATACGCCATCATCGATTGATAAGTATACTGCTGCTTCTCATACTGTGTGCCGTTTGTTGGATATGGCAGGGACCCGTCGAAGAAGCCAAGGATCTGCGCTCCTTCCATCATCAGCTCGAATTCGAAAGACCAGGTGAAGAAGTCTTTTCCGTCTAAGGGCTTTGTCGTTTGCAGCTTTAAAACGTGCGCGAATTGCGACTGAACTTGTAATGCGTCCAGTGCTCTCTCTTGTCCCGGTGCAGGTTGTGGTTGCGGCATAAAGCTGACGGAGCCACGCTGGGGCTCGTACGGAGCAAAGGTAGGTTGTTGATGTTGATTCCCGCGCGCGTAGGATGAGCCATCGAGACTCATAGGTGTCACGTTGTTGTTGTTGTTGATGTTGTTTGATTGCGCAGGTGCTCCTTGCTGGTGCTGCTCGTAGAAGGACATGAAGGAGAAAAATTTCTCCATCATGCTTGGATCGAAGCCCGCGCCTTGGTTTGCGGGTGTTTCCGTAGACCCAGCTGCTAGTCTCGTCGTTGTCCCCTCCTCTGTCTGTAGGCCAGAGGCAGGAGGTGGAGTAGGAGTAGTACCGGGAGAGCCGTTGGAGGAGCTCCTCTCCTTTCTAGCAAACATGTCTTCTTGATGTACTGAGTGTTGAATAATGAATTTTAACTCTAACTGCTCTCATACCATGTTGGGCTGAGACGCCCTAGGATCTTTGTAGAGTTAAAGTCTGAGTAGATGTTGTAATAGCGGAAGCGTTGAATGAAGTCTTTGAACCACCTTGCGCTGGTATGTGAGGGCAAAGTAAGTTAATTAAAGCAATGAGATACAAGAATATAAATAGATGAGTACAGAGAATATGAGGAGACATTATAACTAATTTTACTGTTGCGGTTCGATACAGTGCGACTCGGGCAACTGCTCAATGTCGAGTCAATTGTTTGTCCTTGCTGTCGCGCTGCGTCAGGTCAAAGGTCGCTGACCTTTGACTTTCCCGTAACCTCCGACGGTTTCGTTAACCGCTTTGGTTGACTCGCGATGCTTCGACTTGAGCTGCTTCGCTTTGTGCCTTGAGTTCTGACACGACAGAGGCGCTTAACTTATTTGTTCCCAACAATAACGTGGGAGCAACAGGCTGGGGAAACAACCTCGGGTGCAGCGTTTCCATCCGGTGCAAGGCAAATCCGCGTGCACTGGTTGGGCATCAATTGTAGTATAAAACGCTGAGAAACAACAAAGATTCATTGGGTTACAAGTTGACTTTCCACTCAGTTGAATCCACAACTGCAGCAAAAACTGAAGGTACAGTATACACCTAGTAGTACAACAGTGCTAGTACCTCCATTCCACTTCACAACAGCAGTTTTTGTGGACGCCTTTCATGCAACCAACTACAGGTTCCATTAAATCAGAACCAGACAAGCAGCGGCCAGGCCAGTCCTCTCGCCTCCCCACTCCCTACACCCGGCCCTTCCTGGGCTTGGAGGAGCGCTTCTTGCAGTCAGGCAGGGGCTTCCCACAGAGCTTGGGGTTGCCGGGGCGGAAGCAGGAGGTGGGCAGGTCGGAGAGAGAGGGGGGGACGGAGCCAGAGAGGGCGTTGCCAGCGAGGTGCACTTGCAGGGAGGGGGCAGCAGCACGCAGCAGCGCAGGGATGGTGCCTGACAGCCCGCTCCACGACACATCCAGCTCCTGCAGGGCCGTCAGCGATGCCAGCCCTGCAGGGATGCTGCCGCTAATTCGGTTGCGCGCAGCTAGCAAGGAGTGCAGAGCGGTGAAGCGCGAGAGGGATGAAGGGAGCGAGCCAGAGAGCAGGTTGTTGGAGAGATCCAAGTGGGATAGGGCTGTGAGGCCGGTGACAAGAGCATTGGAGATGCTTCCTGTGAGCTTATTGGAAGAGAGGTCCAAGTAGGAGAGGGGGACGAGGGAGGAGCTCTGGCTGTTCCCTTGGGAAGGATCTGGGATGGGGCCAGAGAGCTGGTTGTGGGAGAGGTCGAGCAGCGAGAGGCACGAGGAGAAGACAAAACTAGGCATGCTTCCAGTGAGGTTATTGTGGTGCAGCCGAACCTCTACCCCGCACCCACTCTCTAGAAAGTGTGGAGAGCCTGTCACTTGCTCCAAAAAGGGGTAGGTCCTTTGCGCAAGAGTGCCAGTAAACGCATTGTAGGAGAGGTCCAGATAGGTCAGGCTCATTACCGCATCACTGTTACCCAAAGCTGGCAGATTTCCTGCCATGGCATTGTGAGACGCGTCCAGACTCTTCAACCCCCTGCCCTCCGGACCATGCCACCGGACAATCCCACCAAGCTGATTCCAGCTCACATTCAGATGCTCCATTGCAGGCGGTGCTGGTGGGACGTTCCCGGTGAGCCGGTTGTGAGACAAGTCACATGTTATCAGCGAGCGACCCAGGTCGGGAATGGTGCCGGACAGCTGGTTGTATGACAGGTCGAGCGTCTCCAAGGAGTATACATCATTGAACATGGCAAGAATCGAACCCGTGAGCAGGTTGTGCGACAGACGCAGCACCGTCGACTGGAGGTTGTCCTTGGACCGGAATAAGCGTTGCAGGGGGGCGCTGATGCGGTTGTGTGAGAGGTCCATGTAGTCCGCGCTCCAGAAGGCGTTGTTGCCGGGGCTCCACGTGAGGCGGTTGTGCGAGACGTTGAGTGTGTGTAAGTATTGTGGGAGAGGGAAGAGCGCGGCTGTGTCGCCCGAGAGCTGGTTGCTGCTGACGTCCAGACGGGTCAGCAGCGGGAACACCCCGCGGAGACCCCACAGGACAGGCGCACTGGAGGCAGTAGGGTCGGCAGAACTGCCAGCGTCAGCAGCAGCAGCAGCTGGGGGGGGGAGGGCGGCAGCGAGTGCAGCGATATCGCCCTGCAGGGCGTCCAGACGGGTCAGCAGCGGGAACAACCCAAGGAGGCCCCACAGGACAGGAGCACTGGAGGCAGCAGAGTTGTCAGCAGCAGCAGCAGCAGCAGCAGCAGCAGCAGCAGCAGCAGGGGGGGGGAAGGCGGCAGCGAGTGCAGAGACGTCCCCCTGGAGGGCGTTCCCCTGCAGCTGCAGGTCTGTGAGCATCCAGAGCGCGCCGAGCTCCCTTGGCAAGCTGCCGTCCAGCCGGTTCTGGTCCAGCGCCAGGCGCGTCATCCCTGTCAGAAGACTCACGTCAGCTGGAATGGACCCCAAGAGAGAATTCTCCCCCACGTCTAGACTCTCCAAGCTCGCTGACAGCGGCGCTACTTCTGCTGCTGCTGCAGTGGTGGATGGGAGGACCTCTCCCGTGAGGTTGTTCCCACGGAGGGAGAGCTCTCGCAGCGAGGGGAGGGCGAAGAGGGCGGGGGGGATGGAGCCGGAGAGGTGGCGGTTGGAGGAGAGGTCGAGAGCGACGAGGTGAGAGAGGCGTGAGAGGGACGGTGGCAGGCCGCCGGAGAGAACGTGCCCGGAGATGCGTAGCGAGGTGAGGTGCGTCAGCTGCCCCAACGCCTCCGACAGGCTGCCGCTCGCACTCGCACGGCCGGCGCTAGCGCTGCCGCCGTGCAGGCTGTGCAGAAAGAGCCGCACTTGGGGGGGAGGAAAGTCAGGCGCACATGACTTGCCACCGAACTCGTCGTATTCACATTCGGGCGATTCCGGGACGAAGTTGGGGTGTAGGGTGACGTTGGAAGCGCCTATCAGGTGTAGAGTGTCCACGTGTCCGTCTGCTGTGCACCCCACGCCATACCACGCACACGCGCTGCTGCTGCTCGCGTCCCAGCTGCGCAGTATCTCCGCCCACGAGCCATTTCCGCCGTCCGCGAACGCCGTTCCCCCGGCTGTTTCTTCCGCTATTCCCCCCGCTGCCTCCCCTGCTGCTTCCCCCAGGAGCGCATCGCGCACGGCCAGCAGCACCTCAGTCTCCGCAGCGGACGCCTGCACACCAGGCGCCGGCGCGGGGAGGTACCCCGCGCCCACGGCGCCCGCCATGCGCGCGCTGTTGTCGCTCACGCGCAGCCTGTCCCAGTCGTAACTCCAATCCTCCCGGCGCGTGTCAAACAGCGGCCCCGACAGCTCGTTAAACCGCAGGTCCACGCACGAGAAGCGGCCGCTGAAAAACGCCTCGGGAATACCGCCCGAGAAGTTGTTGTGCGACAGATCCAACTTGGACCACACATCAGGAATCACCGTAAAAGCTTTCAGGCTACCCGAGAGGCTGTTGCGGCTCAGATCCATGCCCATAATCGTAACAATGGAGGTCTTGTGCCCCGACTGTGCGTTCGTCTCGAGGAAAAGGTCGGGCGGAACGCTCCCCCGCAGCCCTGCGTGCGGCGCGCTGAGTAGCTCTAGCTTCGCGGGAAACACGCAGCCGTGCAGAGAGCCCTCATCCTCCTTCTCCTCACCTCCGCCGCCGCCGCTCGCGCTGGCGCTGCTGCCGGCGCGAGTCGCGCTGCCCAGGTCGTTGAAGCCCAGCCAGAGCTTGCTCGCCGGCAGCAGCGCGTCGCAGAACGGCCCGGTGAGCGCGTTGCTGTCGAGCAGCACATCCTCGAGCGCCTTGAGCGACTCGGAGTCGCGCAGCGCCGCGGGCACTGCGCCGGATAGGCGGTTCTTCCCCAGGTCGAGTTTCCGCAGCGCAGTCATCTCCGCCAGCGCGACCGGAATGGCGCCGGACAGGCTGTTGTTGCGCAGGATGAGCCCGGTAATGCTCCGCGAATACGCGCCCGCCTCCCCCGGGAGTTCCCCCGTGATGTTGTTGCTCTGCAGGTCTAACCAGCGCAGCGCGGGCGCGCGGAGAAGGGCGCGCGGAAGCTCCCCCGAGAGCGCGTTGCCGTACAGGAATACCTCCTCCAGCGACGGGGTGTACGCGTCGGGCCCGTCGGGAAGGGACCCAGACAGGCCGACTAGTCTTTCCGGTCTAGTGAGTGTGCCTCTGTCGTCCAGGTATGCATTGAGTGTGCTCAGGTCCACGTAGCGGAGCGCGGGCAGGCGGAAAAGGCCTGGCGGAATGGGCCCGGAGAAGTTGTTATCGGGCATGGCGATTTCGGTCAGCTTCCGGAGGCGCGTGACGGAGTCCGGCAAGTCGCCGGCGAGGCACGAGTGGCGGAAGACCAGCGACGAGAGCTCCGCGAGATCGCCAATGGCAGGCGACAGCGCGCCGGGCGGACAGCTCCCTCCGCTCCCGCCAATCCCGGGCATGTCCTCGAGGCTCAGGTCGGAGAAGATGCGCGTGATGCGGCCGGCGGGCGTGCACTCGAGCGGGCACGAGATGTGGGACCACGACGACTCGTCCGGCGTGGGCGTGGGCCTAACGCAGCAGCACGTGACATTGACATTGCCGTGTTCGTCTAGAATCTTGAGCGGCGGTGACCTGCCGTCGTGCGCGAATAAAATTCCCTCGGGCAGCGCCGCGAACACCGCGCGCACGGCCTCCCGGTCGACCTCCGCCACCTCCGTGACATACACCTCGGGGATTGGCGGCGGAGCGGTGTAGACTTCCACCTGACGTAGGCGGGCGATCTGAGTCGCCTCAAAGCACAACCGGAGGAGGGAGATGAGGGTAAGGAGCGAGAGGAGGGGGAGGGACGACTGGAGGGCGCTAGTAGGGAATGACATCATATAGGGGTGTGAGATTGGCCTGTCGTCATATAAAAATGGCAGCTCGCTGCACTGACTCAGTGTAAATATTGGAAAAGCGGAACCATGATTTCTAAGTGATTAATCCCTATGTCGCTGACAATCTCGAGCACTATTGGCGCTTGTACTACCACTTGTTTTAATTTTGGGCGTTAATGCACTGATTGGATGGGCGAGAGTTGAAGCAGGTCCGAATAGATTGTAGTAGTAGTAGTAGCGGCACGTTCGGAACGTTGACTTTGCTAACGGGACGCCAAGAGGGCCTAAGGCGGAGGAGGGCTTGGCGAAAGGGGTACGCGAGAAGAGAAGTACAATTGATGCCTGTTGAGCCCCTCCCGGTAGAGGGACACTGGTACAACAGTACCAACGAGTAGGGCTACTGCCAGCGAAGCCAAGTGCCTGGAATAATTCTGTCGGGCCCAGCCAGCTAGGCGCAGCAGTAAAACCTGCTGTTTTCCTGGGAATCTTGCACAACGGCTGACAGAGGCACCTTGAAAGTGAGCCAGGAGGCTAGGGAAGGGAAAGGTGCGAGACACAGAATGACTTCGAGAGAAAGTGGTGGAACGGGGAAGAAGACTCTGGGCGTGGATGTGCAGGTGGTTGAGTGAGCAGAGAGAGGTAGAGGCTCTGTTCAGGGGAGGGACAAGGGAGGAAGGGAGCGGTGGTGGTGGAGTGGACGTCGGGAGGAATCCGCAGTTGGATGTTGCTCGATTGAGTTCGAGCCGAGCCGTATGTCGCACTGCAGGTCCCTGCCTTGCCCATGTTCCCTTCACTTCACCTCCACCTCCACTGAACGTTCAATCTTTCTATGGGCCTGCCCTGTAACGTCTTATGATGAACAATCATACCAAGTCTGGATAGTGTGTACCTACAAGCTTGACAGTCTGTCTAATCAATGGTACATGACCTACTTCTGCTACAATGGAGCCTCAAACTCAAGTGCATGTGTGCCAATCTGTTGGATATACTCCTGGCTTACTGTAACGTGCGATAGTCGCCTAGACACTACAGATACACAAAGACATCTACTGTATTACACTGCTGAAACTACCGACACATTGATGCCTGGGGACTTCCGGCCAATCCTGCTCTTACTGCTGTAGCTGCTGTTCTTGCTGAAGTGGTCTATGAGAAGAGGAAGTGGAGGTGACCCGAGTCTCGGACGTGGGGAGGCAGGGAAAGCTGGGTGAGTGAGATGCTGGGGAGCTCCTTGCATATGTCATCCACGGCGAATGGGACACTGCCATGTGGAAATAACCGGACAAGTGGGGTGGGTTGGGGACAAAGGGAATGGAAAAGAGTTGTCGCGAGGAGGTGGAAGGAAAGGGCATGACATCTCATTCCAAATTACATGGACGCAGAATTAGCAGTGGAAACACGCAGCACCAGCAGCAGAAACAGCTGCAGGAACCCGGGCTGTAGCACAACAAAGTGCAGCGACCAGACTACACACCACACACATTCCAGCACAAGATAAACAAATCACAGCAGCACTCACGAGGAGTCGTCGTCGAGCAGGAACGAGTTGGTGCCATTCTGAGCCGACTCCTCCGTGCTCTTGAACCGCATGGCGTTCACGACTGCAGGCGCCACGGAGTGCGTGCCGTACTTGTCGTCGCGGTACATGGTGCTGATGCGGTACAGCTGCTGCATGCTCAGCGCCGGGCACAGGTCGTTGGTGATGTCCTCCAGTGACTTCTTGGGCTTCTGATGGATCACCTGTGAGGTGCAGGAAGGGGCGGTGGCAAGGGAAGGGCAAGTACGATGAGGCAAGGACCGAACCCTAAGGGGAAATGGGGGATGTGTGGAGGAGAGGAGCAGTGTGGGAGAGAGGAACGGATGGAGAGTGTCGAAACACCTCTCGTCAAGACGCAGCAGCCGAATGAGGAGCCGCCGCTGCCGCCGCAGCAGCAGCAGTGACAGCACAGCAACAGCAAGGAGCACATACCAGGAAGCCAACAGCCTGGCGAATGAACCTGAGCTCCTCCCACGCGCTGCCTGCATAGTCCTCCGTGGCTTCGATGATCCAGCGCTCCAGCTCTGCCAGGCCCTCCTTCACGTACTCGCCATTGCTGAACGAGCAGCACTCACGACGCAGCAGCAGACTGCAATGAGGCACATGGAGCGGCAGCAAGCAAGGTGGGAAGAGGAAGTCAGGAGAAGGGCCACAATCAAAGCGGATTAGGCAGTGATAAACCGCAACACGCGGAGAAAGGAAATGTGTTACTAGACAGAGGCCGAAACACACAATGATCAACATAGCACATCCACACCCACCCACCAACACCTTCCCTTCACCCTCTGCCCTCCACCCTCCCTCCTCACTCTCTCGAAGGCAGCACACACCTGTTGAAGAGCTGCACGTTGATGTAGGCAAAGATCTGAGTGAAGAGGCTGCGCACGAGGAAGGCAGGCACGTGGTTGGCCTTGAGTGTGTTGAGCAGGTCCGTGAGCCGCGCTATGATGCCGCCCCACTGCGCCACCGCTGCTGCCACTGATGCCGCCTGGTTCTGTGCCGCCACCCGCACCCCGTCAGGCGACGAGCGGTGCTGCTGACGTGGCGCCATGGGCGTGCGGAAGGAGCGAGAGGCCTGCAGGCAGGGAGGAATACGGGGGGGGTAGGGCAGTGGGAGGGGGTGCATAGCGACAGGGAATGCGGGTGAGTAAGGGGCAAGCGAAAAGAATGGAATTGCGGACGAAGGCATTGGTTAGAATTTAGAAACAGGGGACAGAAAGACGTGCACAGGGACTACAAAAGACACAAACCTGTATGCAGGCAACGAGCATCTGAGAGATGTCCTTCTTGAGGTTGTCTCGGATGCACGAGTAGACCTTCTCCACATACGCCGTGAGCTGCTGCTTGAAGAGCAGTGCGGGGAACTTGGGGTCCACCAGGTGCAGCCCATCTGCCTCGGCTGCTGTTGTCTCGTCCGGTGACAGCGTTACAGGCCCACGGAATGTCTGCAGGCACCAAGAGGGTTGAGGGCGCGTATGGTGAATGGAACACAAGAACGAGAAAATAGCTGGTGGGTTCGGTGGTGGGCGTGGGATCGTTGGCAGAATGGTTGGTGTGAGGCAGTGTAAAGACATAGACCAAGGACAGGGGGCAGTCAAGGGATACAACCTCACCATCCCAAAGCCATCCATCCTCAACAACACATCCCCCCCTCACTCTCATCCTCTCCCCATTTGTCCACCACACACATTTCTATCCCCCACTGCCAGTCCACACGGCTCATTCCCCCCCCACACCCATCACCCAGCCCCAGTGCCCTCTTGGGCGCACCTGGGTCATGCGGCCGAACAGCGACACAGGCTGCTGCCTCCTGCGCGCATGCATCTGCAGCGCGGACGCAGCTCCAGGCCGGAACGACCGGTGCAGCAGGTGCAGCAGCGACGACGCGACCGCCAGCCAATACGACAGCCTCGCAGCATTCCCTGCCGCACCCCCTGCCGCCCCTCCACTTCCTGCCGCCGCCGGCAGCGGCGAAGCAGCACCAGCACTGGCGCCCGCAGCGGGAGCAAGAGCAGGGTCGTGGTTTTCAATGGCGGAGCTCATGGTCTGGATGATCTTGTCAAACACGTTGGTCTGCTCCGCGTCAAAGGAGCGCCAGTGCACGAGAGCGCGGTACAGCATGCATGCTGCCACGGGCCGGTTGTTGTCAAAGCCAAGGTCTGTCAGCAGCAGCTTCAGCACTGTGTCCTGATCCGCCTGCAGGGAGGAACAGCAGGCCAAGGGGCAGGGGCAGGCGGTGGCACAGGTGCGAGACAGATGTGAAGGGGAGGAGCGGACAGGGGGTTGGGAGGTCTAACACATGAGCTGTGTCCCGTGAGAATGCAGTGCATGGGGGACAGAAAGAGCAAGAGCAAGGCTGCTTTTTCCTAAATCCCACCCAGACGGCTACCCTCATCCCTCCATCTCACCTGCTGCCTCTCAGCCAGAATCTGCTGCCTCTTCACCTCCGCCTCCTGCGTGGCCCCACGAGCAGCAGCAGCAGAAGCCGCGGCGCTGCCAGGCGTGCCCGGCGTCATGTCATGCCCACTGGGCGTGGACGGTGTCATTGCCGACCCAAACAGCGCAGACAGCCGCCCAGCAGCAGGAGCCCGCTGCGGCGTGGTCTGCGCAGCAGTAGCCACAGAGAGCGACTGGCGCCGGAGCACCTGGTTCTCCCTGTCCATGCTGCGGAACTGGTCCTCCATGCGCTGCAGCTCCACCTTCATCTTCTCCAGCTCCGACTCCAGCGCCTGCAGCTTCCCGTCCTTGTGCACTATCATCTCCTCCATGGCTGCCACTCGCGAGTCCGACATATCCAGAGCTGCCTTGAGCTTCTCGTTCTCCAGCCCCTCTGCGGACTGACCCGACGCCCCAGTGCTTATGATGACCACAGCTGCACCAGCAGCAGCAGCAGCAGCAGCAGCAGGGACAGCAGCAGTGGCAGCAGAATCGCCTCCGCCAGCAACAGTAGTCACCACTCCAGCAGCAGCGGCGGCAGTAGCAGTGGCAGCAGGAGCACCCTCTGGCTTCTCAGCCCCAGCTGCAGTCACTGTCCCTGCAGGCACTTGCACTTCAACCACCTTCACAACTTCCCGCACCACCGTCTTGATCACAGGCTCGTTGCTCTCTGCCCCTCCACCCCCACCTCCGCCAGCTGCCATCCGTTGATGCAGGGACTGAATCTCGTCCTTGGCTGCTTGCAGCTCTGCTGTGAGACGATCCACCTCCTGCTGCAGCTTGGTCACCTCCTGGGCCTTGGACTCCTCCAGGTCGGACTGGCGGAGTGGGGAGAGGGAAAACATGGGGGAGGAAGGGCGGGAGGGAGGAGGGGAGAAACGGAGGAGAAAATCAGCGAAGAAAACAATAAAATTGGCGGTCGAAAAGGGATGAGGAAGCGAGATCCATGTGAAGGGGATCGCAGAATCACGCGCATATGCATGAGTAGCCCATCCCATCCTCACTCCCACAGGCCCTCCCACCTCCTTGTGCTCTACACCCACCCGCATTCTCTTCTCCAGCTGCAGCCGCCAGGTCAGCTCCTCCAGCTGCTTCTCCAGCCGCGACTTGGCCGCCTGCAGCGCTCCCGTCTGCTTCGCGTCCTGGGAGAAGCCAGGCCAGGTCGGGGTACAGGCATTGGTTGGGGGCAGGAAAGGGAAAGGGATGGGAGAGGAGCGAACGGAGGGGTGTTAGGCACATGGAGAGCGGTGGGAAGGTGGGCAAGCCAGAGCAGTGAAAGGAGCAAGATTAACGAAGTGTACTAGGTTCCTTGTCTCAGGTCCCACATTCACCTCCATCACATCATGCCAGAACCAATTGTTGAAAAAACTAAGAGCAGCACCCACCACGCAACACTCAAGACTACATCTTACAGAGTAGCCAGTACTCACGTGCTTGAGCTTCTTGAGCTCAAGACGGCCCGCCCTGCCCCTCCACATGCTCTGCATGACCAGGGCACTGCGCTTGATGCGTTTATACTCCGACTGCGCCTTGTGCCGCCGGAAGTACGTCTGTGTGGAGGGGGAGAGCACATATCGAACGGGAAGGGTGGGAAAAAAAGGGGAAACGGAGGAAGGGCAGAAGGGAGGAGTGAAAGCATAAGAATGATTCAAGAAAGTGAATGGAATAATGGTGTGCCGTGGTCATGGCAGAATACAACCAAATGACTAGCTTACAACAGACAGGGAAGAGAGGGAGGGGAAAAGACGAGGCAGATTCGGCATTGGGGTAAGACAGCAATCAGCAGCCTACTCCTCCCGCAGTTACTCCCACCCTCCATCCCTCCCTCTCTCCGTTACTCCCTCCCTCCCTCCCGCCGTTACTCCCTCCATCCTTCCCTCCCTCTCTCCCTCCCTCCCTGTGCACCTGGATTTTCCTGGCAGCGAGGTTGCGCCTGCGAGAGGACGCCTCGCGTCGAGCAAACATGCCGCGGGCGGCAGACTGGATGGTGACAGCAGCCTTGAGCTGGCGCTTGTAGTGCACCCGCGTCCTGTGCCCTCTGTACCGCGTCTGAATGACCAGCGCTGCTCGCTCCCTGCGTAGCCTTTGGTACTCGCGTCTTGCTGCATTGCCTGCACGCACGAGGCACGAGGGAGGCACGGAAAAGGAGAGTTGGAACCTACAGCCCGGAATCTTCAGCGGAGGAACATCAGGGAGGAACGGGGCAGAAGGTCCAAAGTAAGAGGCTCATACAGCAGCTAACAGCCTTACTGCTGACTGCTGGCTGTCGTGTGAGCCACATGCGGACGTAATGCACCAACACCAACCAATCACGCCACCACTCCTATTGACCCCCTTCCATGATAAGACTCCATCATTCACACCCTCTCCATCTCCCTTTCCAAACCCCCACAATTGTAACCACGACCACGACCACAGCCAGCACTGCTACTTCCTCACCTCGGCACCGCGCCTGCATGCGAATGGCGGCCTTGCGGAGCGCGACAAACTGCCGGCGCGCGAGCCACGTGCGGACGCAGCGCTGGATGACGCGCACAGCGGAGTGCAGCTTGTTGGCCCGCATCGCATCAAGGTCCGCCATCTGCCCTGCTCGCAGAAAGACCTTGCTCTTGCCCACCTGGAACCCCGTCAGCCCCAGCTTCTCCAGCAGCTGCTTCGCTGTCATCTTGATGTCACTGCGTGGGGGAAGAGGTGGGGGATGGGTTGTTGTAGGGAATGGAAGGGTAGGAGGAAACAAATGGAGAGAAGCAAGGGGGTGGAAGGGTGAGATGTATTAAAAGCGCTTTTCCCTATGTTTGCTCGCACTTCCATCTGGTCAGTAACAGCTTGTGACACCCGGCACTCTCATTAAGGTAGATCTAGGAGTTAATTTACATAACACCAACACTTTCCTATTGCAATTGCGTCACACACTAAAGTGCTGAATCTCGAACTCACCTCCCATCATACTCCAGGTCAGGGACCAGCATGGCAAAGCGATCCAGGAACTCTTCAAAGGTACGGCGTGTGGGGAAGCCTGCACAGCTGATACGAATGGCCTCCAGCACTCCCTGTTGTCAAACAGAAGCGAGGGGGGACGATGGGGGGGGAGAGGAAGGCAAGAAATGATGTTAGAAACAGTAGCCTTTTGTGACCAAAACAGCTGATCCTGCTACACATTCTTGCACATGCCCACAAGCGACCGACCTGTGCAAGTGGATGCTACAGACAGAATCAGGATGAGAAAGCATGCCGAATTGCAGGAGTAAGAGAAACGGAGAAGAAGGAAACAGGGTATGGGAGGAAGAGGGGAAAGAGACGGATCCAACAACATATTTACAAAAGGGAAGCAAGCAACACGCGCCACTCACTCCGCATCTGAGCTGCTGCAGCACGTTGTGGTTCTCAAACACGCCCGGCTTGTTCTGCGCGTTGGGCTTCACACAGCGCACGTAGTGCGGCTCCGTGGTGCTGAGCGTGCTCATGAGCTCCGCCAGCTGCTGCTTGAAGCTGGACCCCAGCGACGTGAACTTGGTCTTCACGTTCTCGCCCTCGCCCACCGGGAAGAGGCCTGACACGAAGGAGCACTTGGAGTTGCTCATCAGCTCCTGGTGCTCCATCACCACGTAGTCCTTGTTCTTGTCCAGAAACAGCTCCGTCTGGTACGTCACCTGCAGGGCGGAAGGGGGGTTGCAATGCGGAGCACAGGGGAAGGAGGAGGGAGCAGGGATAACAGTAAGAAACCTACTTCAGCCAAGAAAACTGTGAAGGGAAGGAGAGGAACAGGGGTACGCACACGCCCTCAACAAAAGCAATAGCTTGCGCGGAGACACACACACATACACAAACAGGCACGCACCTTTCCGGCATAATGGTCAATCGTGAAGTCTGTCTGTGAGAGCTTGGGCTTCTCAAACCGGGTATGCGCACCACATGTCTGGTACAGCTTCGTGGCGAAGGTCTCTGCGCTGGACTTAGGGAACATGCTGTTGTGTGGGGACACGTGTTCGAGAGGCGCCAGGGAGGAGAGAGGAATGGAGAGTGGGGCAACAGGGGCAAATGAGTGGGGGGGTCAGTGGGTGCGTGCACATGTGTGTGCGTGAGTTAGTTGGAGGGGCGGAGGGGAAAAAAGACAGGGAAAGGTGGGAGGGACGAGGGGGGGTTGGGGGGAGAGGAGAGTGCGAATGATGACAGGCGTGGAAAGGAGAACGGGGTCTCAAAAGCAGCAGAAAAGCAACGGGCGTGAGCTCACCATTGCTCGTCCAGAAGGGCGATGATACCCATGGGTTTCTGCAAGGAGCAAGGCACGAACACAGAGGGAAGGGCCATGGACAGTCAGTGAGGAGGTTTCAAGAAAAGGGCCACGAGAGGCAGAACAGAGGGAAAAGGGTAGAAGACAAACATCGATTCAAGATAGAAGCAGTAACGATCAAGGCAGGAGCTTCAGGCGGTGGAGGATGGGGGTTGCGGGTGGGTGATAGGCAGGGTGCGAAATGCGGGGAGGGGAGGAATGAAAGATGTTCAAACTGTGTCCACTCACCTTCTCAATGAGCTCCAGCACGTCCTTGTTGTCAACAAACTCGATATAACTCCAGTCAATCTCTTCCCTCTCATACTCGTCTTGCTCAGCCTTGAACACGTGCTGGTGGGTTCAATCAAAGAGATGAGAACGGGGAAGATGGGTGGTAGGCAAGGAGTGAGGAAAGAGTGGGAGGGAATGGACAAAAAATGGTAAGGGGGAGCGAAGAAGGTAAGGGGAGGGAGGAAAGGGTGGGAACAGAAGGTGAGGCCTGAAGAATCAGCGAAGTTACGAAACAACATCGTTAATTGCACAGCTGGATACATGAAGATTTGGTCTGTAGGGAAGTCCCGTGATCCCTAAGCTAAAGCATGCAGTACCTCCATCAGTTTAAACGTTATGCTCCCACTTAAGTGTTCCTAATTCTTTGATGATTCCTGGTGCGGAAATCGTTTCAAAAACTGTTCCATGCATCAGGTGTTGGGCACCTCGTTGGCATGCAGCTTACCTGGTTGAAGTGTTGTTGAAGCTTCTCATTGGCCAGATTGATACAGAACTGCTCAAAACTGATAGATTCAGCGAGGGGAGGATACGGGGGAGGGGAGGGCAAGGGAACGAGAAAGGGGCATGTACGGACAGGCTTGTGATCTGAAAAAAGCGGTAGATTCAAGTTATACACCTGGAAGCGCATTGCACAGCTATCACCAGCATGGTAAAGCGCAGATCACCATGGCACAGCACTAAACACAGTGACGCACCTGTTGGTCTGGAAGCTCTCAAATCCGTAGATATCTAGCACTCCAATGATGGATGCACAGGCTGGGTCTTGGCCAATGGACTTGTTGACCTTGTCGACCAGCCTGCACAAGGGCCGTGTGGTGCACAGACAGCCAAACCGCCACACGGTAAGCCACGATACAATACACACAACAACGTGTACAGAAGAAACAAGCCTGACACGTGTAGCCCAGCGCTGGCGAGAGAGACCCAAGGGAATATACCAATCACAGACCACCCATCTCAACCCGCTTTTCCCAATCTTACCCAATCGTATCTCATCCATGCTCCTCCCCTACACCTCCATTCCCCTTCCCCTCCATTCCCCTTCCTCGCCTGACACACAACTTCCGTGCCCTTAAACCTCTCCATCTCACAACCCTCATCCCCACCAGTCAAAGAGCCGCGAGTAGACAGTCTTGGCGAGAGTGTCTCTGCTGACCACAGCTGCCTCGGGATCCAGGTCCCTCTTGATGTTTCCGTCCCTGGTCACTAGCGTACGCGTCAGCAGAGATTCCCTCAGCTTCTTCTTCTCCACCCGCAGCAGCTCCGCTACTGCCTCCAGGTGAAACTTCGCCTTGTCCCCATGCAACTTGGACGAATCCGCGGCTTTACCATTGGTGAAAGTGATATTTCCTAGATGCAAAATCGCTGCAACCACGCGAAAAATCGCTTCCTGCTCCTCAATCGTCAGCCCCACGACCTCCATAGCCCGCCTTGTGTTATGATACTCCTCGGCGTTGCTGTTCTTGCCAGGGATCTCGTAGCAGTTGCTCTGGTTTAGGTAGTGGAAGGTCTCTGCTGGTGCCAGCTTCAGCCGCTCCCGCTCCTCGTCCGAAGCTCCCGCACATAGCTGGTAAAAGGCGTGGTAGTTGCGCTCGGGGTCCGATATCTGCACCACACGGGACCTCTCCAGAAGGTACGTGCGCACTGCAGCTCCTGATATGCGCCCCGCCCTGTCGAACTGGATCTCCACGAATTTACCAAAACGACTGTATCAGGCGGGGGGAGAGGAAGGATTGGGACGATGGAGAGGGGATGACGGCAAGGCGAGAGGGGATTGACAAGAAGGAAAGTGACAGGGACAGTGGCGAGAAAGGCGGGGAGAGGACGCGGTACGACCTGAGAGTAAATCAAGTGCTGGAGGGTTCAATTTTCAAAGATAAAACGGGGAGACTTACCTGGAGTTGTTATTTCGCGAAGTCTTGGCGTTTCCGAAGGCCTCAAGAAGAGGGTTAGACTGGAAAGAAATAAGATACAGGAAAGGGAGAACAATGATTGACGCATGAATCGGGTCAGTGCAGGAAAAGAGAGGGGAAACAAAAACAAGCTACTTCGAGCAAGTCAACACCCGTCCATTGACGACAATAACACACAGATATCCAACAGATGGCCACTACCCAAGACACAGATGCAACTGCCAAACCACAGAAATCCGCAAACATGCACGCGGAATGCCTACTCTTACTCACTTCAAGCACTTGCGACTCAATAGTTCGGCCGTCAGAATTGGCGCGACCTCCCATATACGCCAAGTACTGCATGATGAGCTTCGTCGTCTCCGTCTTTCCCGCCCCACTCTCTCCGCTCACTAGAATCGACTGGCTATTGCCATAGTCGCTCATCGTTCTGCACACAGAGAGCAGGAAAACCGGAGAGGCGTATGATGAGGAGTCGATATCAGCAGCAGCGACGGGAGAGAAAGATAGTGAGAGGTGCGCGAGGAAGCAACCACGACGTCGGAAGGACGAGAGGACGCAGTGCAGCCAACGACACAATAAAATCCAGGATTGGCTATGTCCATTGCAGACTTTGAAGCTCATTGATTGGCTTCGTATATGCCTTTCTCCTTCCTCCAGAGCCACCCTGCTCTAATTCATTAAGGTCACCGTAAGAAATCTCTAAGAGGGTTGGTAAGAAGCGTCTCGCTGATACGTCTACGCACTTCGCCACGCACACCTGTTCACGTAACAGATTCAAGCATTAGCACGTACGCACCTGTACGCAGTTTCGGCGATGGCAAAGACGTGCGGCGACAGCTCTCCCAGTCTTGTTCCTTTGTACTGCTCCATCATTTGCTCGTCGTAAAGGTGCGGTAGACTGCGAAATGGATTGATGGCAATCAGAATGCTACCCGTGTATGTCTGTGGAAGAAACACGCACCACACAAAAAGGAAGGGGAAAATAAGATGGAGGTAGAAAGTGAGCGTTGAAGGACGAGTTGCTGAGCAACGTCAGCGTCAGCAACGCTAGTGGCTGACGAGGAAGAGCGCGCTAGGGATGCGCGACTGAGAAGCAGGTGGTGAATCGACAGAAACTGAGGAACGTGATGATGGCAGAAACAAACACAGCCAAGGCAAAATCAGCCGAATCTGCACAACCATGTGATTGATGCACGATGTCACAGGTCACGTACATAAATCTCGTCGACGCTGTATCTAAGGTACAAGTTGTGAAGCACGCCCGGCTCATGAAGGTATGAGAGCTTAGTCATGTCATCAACGCCATCCGACTCCTCGTCCTTGGCATAACAGTGCTTTAGACGCACCACAATCTGTCAAACGCATGGGAAAGGAGAGGGGGTCGTCGAGTTACACCACAGAGCTGGCGAAACTTAGAAAGAGGATAGAAAGAGAACGCAAGAACTGGACTGCGAGCTGTTTTTGTACCGCAAACAGATGAATGGATCGAGCTTATATCAGCATGTCTGATAAGACATGTAGTTCGCTGGATGCAAGTCAGGAAGGATGATTACTTGTGCTCGGTTGCATTCCTGTTTGTCATTTGAACTAGTTTCATCAATCATACATACGTCGAGGATGCTGTCACGTACCATCCATACGACGAAAAAACTAGAAGCGAAATCACTCTAGACATTTCAAGTCGGAGCTCTTTGACAAATGGAGCAAGGTTCGACCCGTAAACAAAAACTGTCGCTGCAGCGGAGACGTACCTGCTTTCCTCGCACGTCAACTGTGACCTTCTTCTTCTCCACGGCAATAACTTCCGCGTCAATCCACGCTTCTTGATCATCTTCCACCCACACTTTAGACCCCACCACAACCACACTAGATGGGGCCTGAAAAAGGACAAGTCAGAAGGAAAAAAAAAAAAAAAATCAGCTAACGATCAGAGCAGTGTTTTGGACTTCACGGTCTCAGTTAGAAGGGTCTTCCGCAGAACTGGTAACACACAATGACACTTGCTCTGGCTCTAAGCCGACGAATGAAGTCAACTAGGAAAGTAGACGAATGAAACGAACAGGATGGCGATATAAGAAAATCTTACCATGATTTGAGAAAGTTGTTGAGCTGCTTGAACAGATACAAGATGAGAGCGACTATACTTGGGTCTGTATTTGGACAAATGCTTCGCCAGAAGTCAAATGGCGATGAATGAATATTCACACCCTGATACTAGGTAAGGCTGCACGGAATCTATCACAGCTCGAGCGAGCGAGGAACTCGATCTCTGCCGTAAATGCACATGTTGTCAACGACCCATGGTTGTAACTCGATACCGAGAGAACGTATAACTATTGAAAATCTTGCGAAGCAAGGACAAGGAAACGACCAAGGAGCAACGATTAGCAGCACCACCCAAGAGCTTCTGCACTGGTGACTGCAGCTGGAACCTCCAAGGTTTCCAACAGAACTTCCGAGGATATCCTTCCTCAAAACACCAAGAATGGTGTTGAGGTGAAAGCATTAACTGAAAATAGCATTAGCAATTTGCAGCTTCAAAAAGGAGGCAAGTTTCCTGATTCCCAACCAAACCTGCAATCTCATCAGCATCCAATCCCTAGGGCTCTTGTGCCGTCAGAACAGAGGTACACCACCCCAAGCCAAAGGAGTTTTGGCATGGTTGTGGCTGGCTCATCGGGAATTCCAAGGTTGTGTGAGTGCGACCCCACCCCATTCCTGATGGAATTTAGGTCCACGAGCAGTTTGAAGGCAATCAGAAAATCTGACGGTATGGAAAATTTGCCGGTGTACGAGACGGTCAGGCAAGCCTGGCGACTTGATCAGCTCCCCTCAGAATTCGTTCGCTTCTGTCTGTCAGCCTGCGAGTCGCTCCGTTTGCATTGCTCGGACTCTCTCCACCTTGTCGCACAGGTACGCGTAACTTCTGCGATTATTGAGGCACCTCGTCCTCGATTCTTTGGACAGAGAGCGTCCAATTAAACCTTGGGAAACACCAGTTTGATTGGCTGTAAGTTTCGCAAGGAAATCTGCGCTGCGAGTCCAGGGAACCGCGCCACTTCGTTCAATTCCTTGTTGCCCTGAATAACGGCCGTGACTTGTCACTCCCAAGGGAGTTTGTGCTGCTCCCTCTCCCGCGCCTCAGAATGCGGTTGTTATGTGTATGTGACACCAACGAGTGACACGTCCCTGGCCTATCACGGCGCGCCGAGGCGGGATCATGTGTGACTGGCTGAGAAACAATGCCACCGACACAACTGCTAGAGTTGAACCAGGCACTCTCTCACTGCCTCAGCAAAACGTGTAGTTGCCATGGTGTGTACCTGTTACGAGTGCAATTGAGTGAACGAACTAGAATTGCACTATCGCAGCAAGAGTACAATGAGAGAAGGCATGAGCGAAGAATATATAGCGAAACTACAGTGGTAACGGTAATGGACTGTGGTTGTCGCGCGACAGGCCTAGGACTGAGGTTGGGAAAAAGTGTCGAAACGGAGGCCCGGAGCGCGGGTTACCCGCCGAGCCGTGAGGTCGGGGTGCGATGTGCGAAGGTGGCGGGCAGATTGTCGATGCGAGGGTTGCGAGTGGTAACGGTCAGGGCCCTATGTATCAGACTTTTTACGCTGATTCAGCGTCAGATCATACTTTTTTTTATACACTCCTCTGAAGTCGAAGTTTTTTATATGTATGTTGGCTGATTTTCCATAGTATTTGTTTATGCCTTCTCTGTTTTTACAGCCTTAAAGATTGAGTGTACGCTGTGCCTCAGCGTACTATCGGGGGTGCACTCTGAAACCGGGATTACGGGGATTCTGGCCAGCAAGGTGGTGTGTAGGTATAACACCGTCAATCACGGCCGGTGAATTGTATTTCCCCACCGCGGCACCGCTCTGTCGCGTTGGTACAGCAAAGATGCCATCAGCGACATTTCCAACCAATCGGGACTGTGCAGCAACCAACGTTGGCAACATTCCTTGCCAACGCAGAGCTCGCAGCGCGCTGCGCCACGCACGACACCAGAACCATCCACCCCACCCCACCTGTGCTGCATACACGACCAGGTGACGTACATGCAGGGAGCAGTGAGGGTTTCATCTTGAGGAGGTCCTAAAAGGGGACCTCCTCAACTCTCCCAGCGTGACCGTTCCTACAATTCCCTCTGTCGCCTGGCTCTCCCTCAGATCTTTGCCATCCCCTGTTACTACTGCCTGATCCCTCGTGTCAGGCAGTTTCTCCCAACCTAGCAAAACACAGCTCGGCAGACTCAATGGCTGCCACGGACACTGCTGCGGACGAGCTGGACGAGGACGACGATGTAGGTCGTCGCCGTCTAGGCGACATGGCGACGGGCCTCGACTTTCTGAAGTCCTCCTTAGCTACGCCTTGTGCACCGCCAGCGGCACCGTCTCTGCCCAGCACGAGTCACGCTCCAGAATCTGTGCACCTGGATTCTCTGCCCGAAGCCGCCACATAACATGTGACAAACACGCCTCGGACGGAGCTACATGAGGTGTCCGACGAAACTCCATCCCGTCAAGCGCCACTACCGAAGTTGCGTTTACGGCAGGCAACCATTGCGTGGGGAACTCCACCACCTGCTTCGAGTGTTCATGCTCCTGTGGCAGAGGAATCACCAAATCAGGACAGCTCCAAACCCCGTCCCGAAAAAGTTGTGCTGAATTACGAAGAAGCGCACGACCGTTTCAAGTCGAGGTGGCTGATACAGATTATCCATGGCTGATACTAACTATGACTGCTGCTAGTGCCTCCTCTTTTAAGTGCAGCATCTGCATGGAATTCGCGGGATTGGCAGGCAAATGTGGACGGCGTGGAGAAGGCGCTACCGATGTGCAGACGCAGGCCTTCAAGAAGCATGAGGGTACCTCGAAGCATCGGTTAGCATTGCAAAGGCAGGACGACCTGCTGCAGAAAGTGGAGGGACAACGCCGCATCGATCTACACCCCAAGGCGCAGGACAAGGAGATGGTGCAGATGTCGGCACTAGCGGAGTCGTTGTACTTCATGAGCAAGTGCAACGAGCCCATGGACTCATGGATCCGGCTCGTGCGCTACCTCGCGAAGAAAAAGGTGCCCGGGTTTCCGGAGAACGGTTACGGCACGTACTACAACACGTACGTGTTTCATGTGTTTCGTCATTTTTTAGAATATTGCCCTCACATTTGCATTTTGTTTGTCGCTCACTCCCGTGGTGTTTTTTCTATTACAGGTACGGCTTTGGTGAGCTGACTCAAGCAATCGCGACTTGGCTCCAAACAACGCAGCTGGAGCATCTTCTAACGAGTCCCTTCATCGGGATCACGCTGGATGAGAGCACCGATTGGCGACGTGGCAAACACATGATTGTGTTTGCCACCTTCATCCGCGATGGCGTTGTCGTCACCGAGTTCCTCGCACATCTCACAGTTGAGAAGGCAGACGCAGCATCCCTTTCAGGCCTCTTCCTTTCCCACCTCAGGGCTGTTGGCGTGGACCTCCGCCGAATATCGGGCATGAGCACAGACGGGGCGATGGTCATGGTGGGGCAGCATACAGGAGTGGTTGCACGCATCCGAATGCTCATCCCCAACCTCGTCTCGTTCCACTGCATCGCACACCGGTACGCCTGGCTCTGCAATTTTAACAGCATGTTTAAGGTAGTGCTTTTATTTACCTATATAATCTTGTGTGTGTTGTGTTGCTTGCAGAGAAGCATTGGCTGCAAAAGCTGCAGCAGAGGAGATCCTCACCTTCAACATGGTCGACGACGTCATCCGCGCCGTCGCGGAGTACCTTGGGCGTTCGGGTCCTTGGCACCAACGCTTCATGGAGCTCCAAGAGGTCTTCACATCCACGAACCTCGAGGTGCAAGGCATACACGAGGTTCGATGGCTGTCGCGGGGTGCTGCAGTGTCGCGCTTCGTCAAAGTCATGCCCGCCATTATTGTGATGCTGTCCGAGTGGAAGGACCAAACGATGTACGAGTTGGTGACTTCATATCGTTTCCAGTTCCTTGTGAGGTTTCTAGCGGACGTGCTGGATCTCTGGACGTCCTCTCCAAGGTTTTCCAGCATCGAGAGGTAAGTGACGGTTCATTTGTTTTCCTTATTATTGTTTTCCTTAAGTACTGGTACTAACAACCAGTGTGATTCATGTGTGGCAGCTCGACTACCCACTTGTGCACACGCAGATCGTGCGCACAACCTCTCTCTTGGAGAGCCGCTACATCGACTGTGGCGATGATTTCGGCGGCGGCACCAGCGAGCATCTGTATCGGTTCATCGCCAAGCACGGGCCACAAGGGTCGCCGCAGATGGTGGTGGAAGGTGCCTCGTCGGACGGCAGCATGAACCGCTTCCATTTCGACCTTCACGAGCGCAAAAACAAGGACTACCCTGGACTCGACAATCATGACGCCTGTGTCGCACTCTGCACCGACATGGCCGAGCTGGTTGTCAACAATCTCTAGTCAAAGCTTGGTGACCTCGACTCGCTGGCTGGAGTGCGCCTCTTCATCCCAGACATGTGGCCACCGAACTGGGATCGGCAGGCTAGGCAGGCTCAGTGTCAGGAGTGGCTGTTGTCGCTCGCCACTCTGTTTCACGCCGACGACTCGCCCGAGATTCTGCCAGGTTAGTATCTGCTTGGTCATTCGGTGAACACGTTTGACACTTGCCCTCTCGTATTAAACTAATACCCTCCCCATTGTTACTTATATCACAGGCATTGACAAAAAGCGGGCGGTCAAAGAGTTGAGGACTCTTTGCCCGGTCTTAGACAGAGCTCCAAAGATCGAGAGGAAGTTCCATTCGGGACTGGCAGCCATCCTCAAGACTCCCGATTGGCAGCAGGCATACCCCAACCTTGTCAACCTCTGGGTGGCGGTAGCAGTGTTGCCTCTCAGCACTGTTGAGTGTGAGAGAGGCTTCTCTTGACAGAACCTCATCAAAACGTGGCAAAGAGGCAGTATCAAGGACTCCAGGCTAAGTGATTTGTTGTGCATGTCATTACTAGACTACGAGCTAGATTTGCCAGGAGTATTTAAAGTGTGGCGCAGCTACAAGAAGCGCCGTCCAGTCACAGCACCTGCTG